GGGTGGTTTTTTATTGTTCTTGTTGTCTTCATGTTTTGTGTGTGTGTGTGTGTGTGTGTGTATGTTTTGTTCGCTTGTCTGTTGTTTTTTTTTTTTACTTACAAGCATGTTAAGTAGCAAAGAACTCCATCTCTTTAGGAAAACATATTTAAGAATTAAGAAAACAGATAAAATAGGACACTACCTCAATACTATTTAAAAATATCTTATACTTTTTAAAAACTAAATTATCTTGATGTGCTTAACTGACTACTATACTAACACTTTTACTAACATGTAGGCTTCTTGAAAACCATTGCAGAAATTAATGCCACATCAGTAATTATGCTGCTTACATAAATTTATGTAGCCAGATTACATATTAGTTACTGGCTTGTAAGGTACATTCTTAGAGCAGCTTACGTAAAATGAATGTAAAAATTTCCAGTTTAATGTATAAATAAAAAATAATTTCTTTTCTAGAACGATTTTTTTTTCTCCTGAACTTGTAGTCAGCTAAAAAAAAAAAAAAAAAAATTAAAATAGTTTTGGAGGCTTAAAACAGTTAAGAGTCCTATCTTCAACACCAAAAGAACAGAAAAGTGTCCTCCTCGGTAGTTTTGAAAACAACCTCCTTTTTTTGCATAAGCTTTTTGTCTGTTAATTGACACAGCAGTTTATAAAGTTTCAAGTCATATATTTATGAAAATTATTGTAAAAACTAGAACTAAAACAAAACCAGATTTTCTTGAAATCACATACTCTGATTCTTTGAAACACTAGATAAATTATTTTATTTCAACAATCAATTTTTAATTGAATTCTAATGCCTTTAAAAATACCATTACTCCTACACTACCTTTCTTGCACTCAATCTACTGTCTAATTAACAGTAAGTATTTAATGAAAATAAACAGCTTTTAAAAGGAGGAAGATATGCAAAAATAGGAGAATAAGCTTTTCGAATGAGAAATATTTATATAAAATATAATCATAGAAGCACTTTGAGAAAAAGCACTTTTTTTTCTTCTCTTTAAAGACAGCTCTGAAAGCTTGAACCACATTATTGATGTACAGGGCACAACACATACTGTGGTCACATAATGATATCTTTGGAGCATTATAAGTTCTCATGATAAGCCTTACTGCTGGAAATACTTTGCACAGAGGGAGAAACACCTCAAGAACAGACAACAGAGATGATTAATCTTGCAGTCAAGCTACTCAGTAGTAGGTTTGAACAGCTTCATAGTATTCTAAAATTATCTTGTTAATTTAGAACAGTAACTATCTGCTTAGCATATTTTCTTTACCAAAAATATATCAGTTAATACACCACAAAGATAATGAATATTAAAGTATGTTTTAATATACAGGAAATCATACAAATTATCAATGCTTCAAGTGCTGTATAAGGCCAGCACTACCAACCAATTGAATTACATTTTTAATTTCCCTCCTCAACCAAATGATAAATGAATGCAGGATAGTGTGTTAAGACATCCCAAATTTTAAATAGTGGTATTTTAAAACAAAATGTAACACGAGACATAAACAACCAATATGATTATAGTATTCAGTGGAGAAAAAAAAAAAATAAATAAAAAATCCCATTCCGTATTTTTAGTAAACAACTGTTTTTTATATCCCATTATACTTTTTGAATATTCTTCATGTATGGTCAGGTAGATCCCCAGAAGTGAAGTTACTAAAACAAATAGAAAGCAGGAAACACAGATTTGTCATTTCCTTTGCCTAAGGAGGTTTCTTTCACACATACTAGTGAGTGGCAGCATCTCAAAAGCCACAACAATGACTGCTTTGTAACGTTAGCATTGTATTCATATGATGAATTGCTATAGAGTAAATCACTTTACCAGTTCTCAAAGATGAGCATAGGATGAGTGAATTGCACTGAACCAGCATATATGAGATATCTTCCTATTTTGCTGTTTTCTCTTGTGACCTCACACAGCAATGAAATGGACTACTTCTTCATCCTGACAGACTGAGATCCATTCACACTTGTGTTTTGTTTTTTTTTTTTAAATTGATACTTGTAATAAATGCATAGACCTACCTTTGTAATTGTTATTTCCCACTATCATCCTCTAATAGTTTTCACAAAACATTTCTTTCATAAAATGAAAAGGCAAAACAGGTGTTAGATTATTTATGTTTGACAAATTCATATCATTTAAATAATTAAAACTAATTTGTTTTGAGAGCTACAGTTGCATTTTTATTAGAGAAACAAGTACAAATAGGCATCACTACAGAGCTGTTTATTCAATAATGAGAATAAATAAAATGGATTTTTTAGTCTCAATTCTTCATGATTAATGTGATAATGGGAATTCTAACTTCTGTGCCCTAGCAATCTGGAAACAGCTGCTCATCTGCTATAATTCCATAAAACTTTTTAAACTTAAAGCTACACATTTCAAATGACCCTCTAAAAAATACTGTAAACAAAATAGTCAAAGCTTTCACTTTAAACAATATTTGCAAGATGAAGCTG